AAACTCTCCTGCTCACCAAGCTGACTCGTCTCCTCACAGAAACTCACAGACAAACTTACCAAACACCAACACCTCCCCCCCTCCTAACCCTTCACCTAGCACCTCAGAGGTCCAATCACAGCTGTCTTCTCTCCCTCCTCCTGCTCCTCCTCCTTCACTCTCCTCCTCATCACCTGCTGAAGGTGAGTGTGTCTATAACACGAGTGGCCCCTAACCTGACTCTTGTTAGTTTGTTCTGCATTTTCTTTTCTTTTTTTTTTGATAGCTCTGCATTAAAAATATTTTTTAAACCTTAAAAAGAAAAAAGCTGAACTTTTTGTGTTTCTCATAGACAAACCAGATCTCTGTAGGAACTGTAATTGCTTTCTTTACCACAAGAGGGAGGCAAAGCTTTTGTATTACAGCTCATTTACTCTACCTCTAAAACAGCCTTGTTGACCTGATGCTTTTATGATAATGTAAAGATTTCTGTAGATTAGCTGTGTTTAGAGATTCTCCTTTCTAACAGGGTTCCTCTCTGCTCCCTCAGGTCCCATCGTCCCTCAGTTCTACAGTATGAATCGCCCTCAGCCTCGACAGCAGACCCCACAGGTGGGAGGGTCACTTCCATACCGCCGTCCCCCCTCTGTGACCGGTCAGCCAATACCTACGCACAACCACGTCAACGGAGGACCCTACTACAACCAGAGCCCAGGTTGGCTCGCTAAAACAAACTTTTACTCCAATGCAAACAACAATGATCCACAAACGAGATGCAAGGACTTGTTTGAAAAAGATTTTCGAGTCTTTTAAAGATGCTAAGACTTGGATGGCAATACATATTTTTAAAAAATTAAAAAATGACAAAACAGAAGTCTGTTGTTTTTGGAAGGAATGAAACTTCAGCTTTAAGTAACTATGAGGTTTAAATAGAGATCTGAGAAATGTTCTGGTCTCAGTTTAACCTCTAAGCTCTACCTTCTCCCTCCCTGTGTCCCTCACACCCCTTTCAAATTACCCGTCTTCTTGGTCCAAAATAATCACATTTTGGATAAAGAAAACAGCTAGCTTGAAAGGGGTGTGAAGGAAGCCATTTGTTAAGAGAGAAAAAGCTACCTTAAACGGAGGGGGGGGCTCAGATTTCAGCTCACAAAAACCTTTCAATAGATAGATAGAGTTGATTCCTTCCCTTCTATCATCTCAAACCTCCTCGCCATGCAGCGGACCAAGACATCTCACCTGGTCAGCCAGGCCAACAATCACCCTCACAACTCCCCTTTTAAGAGGCATAGACCAGTACCAGGTTTTGCAGGCTAACAAAGACATTAACGACTTTCTATTACTAAGGGGTCGACCTGGTCTTCCGGTTTAATTAGAAGGTTTTCTAAGCGATAACAAGGCTTTGTTGGGCTACTCTATAAAGCTTGAAACTCAACGCTTATCCAGACATCTTGAATTGAAAAAGCTTCATGGATGGGAAGCGAAAAGTCTTCAAACTTCGAAAACAAAGTGCAAGGGTTTGTTTTTTGTCTTTTTTGGAAGCTCAGATATCTGGTAATGTCAAACCTCTGAGCTGAGAGTATTGTAGGTGGAAGGCTGAAAAGCAGCAGGCTGTTCTATTTGTTTTTCTGTTGGCAGGAAAGGAAAAGGTTATATAGTCTGATTTGTTTGCTTCTCTGGTTATGTGAGATAGAAGTAGTAAAAAATGGTTTATAACACCAAACACATACATGTTTCATATGAATGGCAGCCATGGTGCTTTCACACCAAATATGTATAGGCGCTCCCGAACAACTGATTTACAAGTTGTCCTTAAGTTCCGGTTTGCAACAGGGTGCATAGCGATGCAACAGACAGGTTTCTAGCGTCGCCATGGGAACAATTTTAGTGATCCCATTGATGGAGAAGTGAACTCTGGAGCTACAGGAGGACGAGTGATGAATGATTGACGGTACTTCTAGCGCTAAACCTTTTAACTTTTTATTCCTTACTTCATTCAGAGTCAACATTATTGTTTTTATTTCTTCTCTGTGCTCCTTTACCCACATCAGTCCCTGATTGGTTGGCACACTAGACACAAAAAAATGAGATTAGAAAAAATTTGAAACTCCCAACGGCCGTCGCTTTGTTCCCATCACAGGTGTCTTGCTGCCGCATAGCCAAAAACCATGCCAGCCGTATCTCTATTCTACAGCTTAGCATGGCATTGCTCCTGAACGCGCCTCTACAGGATAACATGTAAATCTGTCGCTCTAGTCGCTGTAATTTCCAACTGGGACCTCAAAAACTTTGACTTTAATTGATTAGATCTTGTCCAGTTTTTACTGAATCTTATTTTCTTGATCCTAATTCCCCTCTGAATGTGTCTGCAGCCTCCCCTCCGCCCCCATCGCTCCTGCAGTACACCCCTCAGCTGCCTCTGATGGGCTTCGTCGCTCGAGTTCAAGAATCTAGTGAGTCTGTCCCCGTTGACTATTGTTCACTATACCAGCCTGTGGTAGTTCTGAATGCGCTTATGTTGGTGAACTAAAATTGACCGTTAGCTTCTGAGTCCTCTCACTGAAACATATCCCTTTGCCAACAGTTACAGACACTCTTCCTCCTCAACCAGCAGCAGAGAACCAATCAGGGCCTGACGACTCTCTGTCCTCTCCAAAGCCTTCAGAGGAAGGACACGCTGAGGACGACTCCAAAGTGGTGGAGTACAGCGATCCATACGCTGAAGAGGACCCACCATGGGCCCCAAGGAGCTACTTAGAGAAAGGTTTGTCTCTGAAGGCCTCTCAGGGTTTTCAGTTCTGGTCACAGTATCCTTTTAAGACGGTTAGTGTTGAGAAAGAAACGCTGGCACTTTGTGTCCTTCCAGTTGTTGCCGTATACGATTACACAGCAGACAAGGAGGATGAGCTGTCCTTCCAGGAAGGAGCCATCATTTACGTGGTGAAGAAGAACGAGGACGGCTGGTTTGAAGGGGTGATGAACGCCACCACCGGCCTCTTCCCCGGGAACTACGTAGAGTCCATCATGCACTACGCCGACTAAAGACCCGCCCTTCCAGGTGGACCTCATCGAACCTGCAGTTCTGTTCATTTGTCCAGAACCTGAACAGTAAAGATCACTTTGTTCTACTTTTATATTTTCCTCCTGTGGTTCAGTTTATCATAGTTAATATTCATTTATTGGGAAATTCTGATTATTTATTGGATCAGTTTAGCTGGTTTATCTGAAGCCTTCATGTATTTTTCTAACATCCACTATGTTGAAAATGTTCTGTTCTTTAGGTGAATATGGTGTGAATTTCAGGTAGTTCAGCCTGGTCCAGTTTCCAAACCCTTTTCCTGATAAATAAATCAATAACTGCTACAGATACAGGATGTTTTAGCAGTGAATAAAACCATCGGTCAGGAAGCTGTTTTTCATTTCTTCTGGTTTAGGTGAAGAAGGATCTATTTTAATGCTGCAGACACCAACAGTAATGTTACTGATTCTTTGTCTTTGTCTCCTGTACAGCAATAAGAAAAAAAGTTGTATTTTGTGCCTTTTAAAAACCTTTTCATGTTTTCTCATATTGAACTTCATCCTCAGATTTTGTTTCAGAGAAAAATAACACTTGTGCATAATTGGAAGGTTTAGGAAACAGGATTCCAACGTTTTCAGTTTTTTATTTTTCTTTCCCTTTACATTCATGCTCTACTTTCTGTTGTTCTGACCGATAAAATTAAATTATTACGGTAATACCAGAGGCATCATCTGAGCTGTTAGTAATCCTGCTTTTAGTTTCTATTGATTTTATTCGGATAATTTTTCTTGTTTTAGTCCTAAAAGTAAAATTCAGACAAAGAGTCTTTATTCTAATGAGATGAAGACAGCAGATCTGCTTGGTTTGATGAACCTTTTGAAGGAGTGTGAGGAACTCAGTTTAGATTCTGTCCGCTTCATCTTTCCTCAGTATTAGACTTCGATTTAGACAATATAAATGTTACTTTACATAACTTTCTATTGTACATTTTTTTTTGCATTTCCACATCTATAGAGCCAAATGATAAATAATTGAGATGAAAATCAGAGGATTCCTGTCAAACATATCTGTTCTTCAGACGGTCTTCTCTTCCTGTGAAGGTTTCTGTTTTTTTCTTTCCAGTAAATAACACTAAGATTTTACCAAACGAGCCAATGAATCAGAACACAGACTAAATGATCCTGCAAAAACCAATCTTATGTTTAGTCTGTGATTCAATTTATTATGATTTTAGCATAATTTCAACCCTGCAGACTTAATTCATTGAACAGCAACAGTTGAACCGAAGGAAATGTTTCCTTCCTGTTGCTACAGAAAACGCTGAGGAAGGAAGAAGCTGCTGGACGAGTCCACCATGTTAAAGAAAACCACAGCTCAACTTAGCACATTTTAGGCAGCGCTGCCTTCACACTTAAACCTCCAGCACTTTTATGAACCCAAACCAACCAATGATTGGGAAAACAAGCACTTAAACGTTAGAACGAGGACGTTTTCCTTGCATGATTTAACCTGTGATCTTTTGCACCACCAGCTCCCTCCATTTTCTCAGAGCACAAAAAGAAAGCAGACGTTTTATATTTAAAACACCTCAAGAAAAAATGTGAATCGAGGTTACGATCCGTTCTCAGGCTAACGGCGGGGAAAAAAAGCACCAGAAAGCAGAACTTCTCCTGATGTGTGAACTCTGAGCCTCCTGTCTTTGTTTGTGGTGAAATGAACCTGAACCAGTTTGCCAGGTGGAGATTCTGTTGCCAGTTTTAAAGTTTACAGTGTGCTTCTCTGCATGCCTGATATATATGACACATGTATTTACATTTTTAATAGTATTTGTCTTTATACTGTTTGTTTTTTTTTGGTTACTGCCTTTATCGCATTATTTTCTGATTCTTCATCCAAAGGGTCGTTATGTTCTTGTGAAGTTTACTGTTTGCTCTTTTAATTCGGGCTGTTTACGTACACAGGGCTCGGACTTTGCATTGTATCAGAGAGAGAGGAGGAAACTTTGTGCCAAATGGATGTTTGTGTTTGATGTGATGTGATGTGATGTGAATGCAGATATCTGTGTGTGAATCAGAATCAAACCTGTGAATATGGACCTTAAAAGAGTTCATCCCTGTGCAGCGTATTCAAGAGGCATTTCTCAGCAAAGCTATAAAGTATGATTTAAAAAGCAGAATGCAACATTTAGGAGAAGCTCATCTGGTTTCTGATCAGCACATCATCCTGGAAGCTCTTCTTCAGCCGCAGCATCCCTTTAAAGAAAGATGCAGATGGAGAAATGAGCTTTGAAATGTTCAGACTTCTTCCCCAGCGCTGATGTTCAAACACATCATCTTTAAAATGTTTTCTGCATCCAGGAACTTAATAATCATATTTAAGCTTGTTTAAGTTGTTTTTAAATCAATGCTAAATATGTTTTGTATTTTAAATGTTTGTGATTAAAGCATTTTTGACTTTCTGATTTGAAATCAGTATTTGTAGATTGATACAAAAAAGCTTTAAACGGAATTTTTTTGCTTCAAGCTGACATCTGAAAATCATCTCCTGTGTTTGTTTTTTGGGGAGATTTCTGTATCACCTGTCCTGTTGTGTTCCCTCTGTGCTGCATCTTCTTCTTAGAACATGTTTTCAAGACAAGTTTCCTTTCAAAGCAGAAACTTAAATCTCAGCGTGTTGCTGTTTTGTAAGACGGAGGGAAAAGGAAATAACTAATAAATGTTTTAACATCCTTCCTCTTGTCTATTTGTGTCATATATTTACTGCATGAAACAAAAAGCTATTCATTATTTTTTCTATAGATATTCAGCATTTTATTAAGCACCACGTTCCACTGCCGCTCATGGTGAATTCATACCATGTTTTATTTTATACTTTTCTCATTTTACATGTTCCAAAGTCAAAAGCTACTAGCCTGAGTTTTCTTTAAAATCAGCAAAAACCTTCAAATAGGACATTTCCATTTCAGTGGAAATTGTTAACTTCTTGGTTTGCTTTGTGCATGTTTTAAATCAAGTAGTTTCTTGAACGCCTGATCTTTGACTTTACTTAGTTTCAGGAAGTTGAAAAATAAGTATTCTAATCACCATTTAGTAACATCAACATGTTTCTCAATAACTGGATGTCATCGACCCAAACAGGTAACTCAAAAGCGGAAACTCTCCCTTCAGATTACATTTTTTTTTATTTCCCATGGAAATTAGCAGCATTTCACATCATATTTTTTTTCTTTTTGGCAATGACAAAATTCACATCACTGAACACTCTGTTTAATATTTCTTGTCCCGCAGCTTAAGAGATTTGTGTAG